ATATATAAAACCTGAAAACTATTTTTAAAACAGATTTGCCTCAATCCATTTCGCAGCTCAGGTGTGTGCCAGCCGAAGCAGTGAAGTGTTCTAAAGTCTTTCACCTTCCCTAAAGATGTTCAGAAATTCTTAGTGGGAAATTTGGAAGAACAAATTTACAAGTAAAGGTGGAGTAAGATTTTTTGGTTCCTTCTCAATGTAGTGGGAAGAAGGTCAGTGAGCCCCATAGTGGGTTCCAGAAAGAAATGTCAACTCACGTTTCCAGGCAACAGCCTGGAAGCCATAGTGACTGTCAACCTTCCAAGGAGGATGACTCTGTCAGGACGGGTGGAATTATGTCGTATTCCTAGAATAGGGTAGCAAAAGTCCCTCTGTTGAGCAAAAGTCACTGTGCTGGGATGAAGAACTCTGTTGACACAGACAGAATATTCCAGCACAGGGATATCTATGTTAGAGCGCTTGTTATGAAGGGGATGGGGGGTGTCTTCTTTGGTGAGCAGCTCACTCCTTCCCCCAACAATAGATAAAAGACTACCGTGAAAGCCACTTGGTTGTCTAAGGTCCCACATGTCTCGCTTTCCCTGCTAATGATCAATCTGAGGATTTTCCTTGTGAGCTCAACAGGAAGGTTCCAAGGCCAGCTGGCCAGGGACAGAAGCCTCTCTCCCTTGCTGCTGGCTTCCCTGCTGAGAGGACACCAGCTGCTGCCCAGGAGGCATCCAGCATGATTCACCGGCCTATTTGAAGTAGGTGATCTGAGCCGTGTTTCACAAGGTCTGTGACCAACACAAGGCTCTGTGACCATTTCTCCCACTAATTCCTCTGCCTGCAGCTGGGGCCTGATCAAGGTCAAAGCCAAAGTTTCTGCTGGGATTTCCACAAGAAACTATCCCGGCTCCCTCTGCTATCCTTTCAGGTTCCTAGAACCTGTGGCTTTTACTCTGTCTTACAAACACCAAGCCAACAGCTTGCCAGAACCCAAGGTCAGCGCCTGAGGAATCAGTTGCCACTCCCATCTGTGGGTCTTGGAACTGTGGACAAAAGGGGCCACATGCTGACCTGACAAGCTCAGGGGAGGCCATGGCAGTTTTGCAAACTCGGAGACCTAAAGTAACCACAAAGGATGGTCTGAAATTAAGCTTTAACTAAAAGCAGTTACGGTGGGCAGTTATTTCCTAGGCCAGTATCTTTATTGACAAGGTCAACCTTTACCTTAACTGAGCCTATCTGTCTTTTTGCATCTAAGATAACATACCCTTGAAATGTCTGGGTAACTTGTAACTTCATTTTTCTGGAGGCCCTGGGGCACAACCAGATGTACTGGGCACCAGGACAGATACCACAAATTCCTTCATTATCATGTTAATTGATCCTGCACCCACCTAAGTTTGTGTCCATCATTTTACTTTTTATCCAGTCCCAGGGTCCCCCCACTTTTGCTTTATCCCACCTCCTTAATCTATCACCAATGAATTTCATGTAACCCACCTATGTCCCTCCTTTGATTGCAATGTATAAATACAGATGTACCCCGCCATTCTCCAGAGCAATATCTCAATTCGTTGAGGTTCTGCTTCCCGGCATATGTCGACAGTTTGGCTCAAATAAACTCACAAAAATTCTTTACAGGTTCAATGGTTTTTTTTATGTTAACAGAACAAAAGTGAGGTCCAAGGCCATCACCTGCCGGATGGAGGCAGACTGCTGGCTAGGGGGCATTCCGACAATACCAACTGCCGTCCCGGATATGGAACATGGTTTTAGAACCCAGAGACAAGCATCCTCCTCGGAGACCCATTTGGTACATGAGGACTGTGTGCTCCTGGGCTGTGCACTCCTTTCTCCCTGTCTACCTGCCCACAGAGTTGTGCTTTGTCCTGAGCTGTTGAGTCAGCTTCCACCCTGTGGACACTGTGGCTTAGGCACTGATTATATTTTCCTAGAAGTTTCAGAGCCTAACTTGTGACCTTAGCCTAATAGACATCCAGGCAGTCACTGCATGCATTGTGTGTGTTAATTTTTCTCCTTCAAATTCTCCTTTCTTTAGTTTATATTTGCCTTATTTTAGTACTTATTGTAAAATGTACCTTCTTTTGCTTTATGGAATGAAGCTAGTAAGTATTTTAAGTCCTTTGAAAGATCTGTAGATTGTTAGGCCCCTCTCAGACCTCCTGCAGGACTCTTTCTTACCCACTCCAATCCCTCTTTGAATGAACACCCCAGCCAGGAAGCGGGTTGTGATGAAATAGACCTGATCTGGCACACAGAGAAAAATCTGTGTGCACTGGTCTTTAGTGTTTGTTGCTACATACAGTATTTTAAAAAATGCTGGAAAACTTCATATGCCTGAGCTTAAGGACACCTCTCCATGAAACTGCGCATCTTCTGAACATGCTTGACAATTCCTTCTGTCATCACATAAATTGAAATGTCAGTCCAGTTGCTGCCCCAAACCATCACTACTGGGGTTATGTGCTCTGATTTCTCTTTAGTTGGAAGACAGTAACTTTCCATACACAGGAAAGTCTAAGTGCAGAAACAGTTGTTTGGGTTTCTTGAGTTGGGCCAAATGAAACCTGACTGCGGCAGGCTCTGTCAAAACAATACTTGGTCTGAGTGGCAGCTACTGTTGGTCTGGCTTTGATGAAGTGTGAGGAACATGAATTCCACAGGCCACAATAGCTTTGGTGGGAGCCTGCGTGTGAATCCCAGTGTTTATTTACAATTTTGTGCCCTGGGCTGTTTTGATTTCGGTCTGAAAGGTATTCCTGGGCTAAATAACTTCTGCCTTTGGCACCGGGAGAACAACCAGGAACTATTTGGCAAAGGAACTTGGGCTTTTTCTCATACACTAGAATCTGGACATGGGATCAGAGAATCTTGGAAAAACCACTTAGAAAATGTAGGCCTGGTCTATTTGCTAAAATCATTCCCCTTTGCATTTACCTTTGCAGACATTCGCTTCCTGCCTCAATCACACATTCAAATAACAAAGTTGTCTTTAAGTCTGAACAAACGTGGACTGTTGCCACTGTGCATTGTTATCTCAATTGTCCAAATGGTCCAAGGAAAATAATTGAGGCGTATTTGACTGATTTCTCTTACTTCCCAGACAGATTGTGATTCATTGGGAAAATGTTCCCTGTGGTTTTTAGAGCATTTTCAAGCAACAGCCATGCTGAAGAGGCCTCGGAGTATGAAGACTAGTTTCTAAATGACACATAATACCTGGGCAGAAGTTTTTTGTGTTCTGTTTTGTTTTTTTGAGATCCGAGATCTCAGCTAGTTCTAGGTTCAAGCAGAGCAAAGACCCTTAGTAAATTTCACCAACATCTATCCCAGACCTTTGACCTTTATTACAAAACATACTATTAAGCCTTTGCTCCAGTCACAAAAGGAACTTCTCTCCCCCTCCCATGAAACATTGTGGTTTTACAGAAAAACTTGGCCAACACATCAGGTTTATGTCCAGTTTGGGACAAATATCTCAGATATGAGAATTCAACATGATTTGTGGGTTCTGTTTTCTGAGAAATTTCAGTGACAGCACTTTGAAACCTCATCGAGCCATTATGCAGAGTGACTGAGCCGCCAAACCAAAATTCCTCTTAAGGTTTGATGTTCCATCTCCTGGTGGTTTGAGGCCTGTTTATAATACAATAGGTGCAAACTCCTATAACCCAGGCAACACCCCATGGGATGAAACTATTCAATCCAATCTACAGTGACCCATGGGGCTTTGTCACTGTTCTCCAAGGAAGCAATATGGTACCTGGGAAGCCATCTTAACCCATGAGGAGAAGGCCGGAGAACAAACTACATAAAATATGCAAAAATCCTGGCAAGTGGTGGTGGCCAAGAATGTTCTCCCCCAGCCTGAGACTTCATAGAGATCAGGACCCTTCTAGAAAAAGAAAAGAAAAGATATATTAGTGTAGGACAGTGATGGCGAACCTATGACACACGTGTCAGAGGTGACACGCGAACTCATTTTTTTGGTTGATTTTTCTTTGTTAAATGGCATTTAAATATATAAAATAAATATCAAAAATATAAGTCTTTGTTTTACTATGGTTGCAAATATCAAAAACTTTCTATATGTGACACAGCACCAGAGTTAAGTTAGGGTTTTTCAAAATGCTGACCCGCCGAGCTCAAAAGGTTCGCCATCACTGGTGTAGGAGGTGGTTCGACACAAAGACCCACACACACACACACACACACACACACACACTTTCTTGGGAGGTTGAATCCAGGGAAAGGGTGAATAGTTGGGATTTAGGAGATAATTTGACTACAGAGGGGCTGTTACCCACTTTTAAGGTCAAGTAGTCACAATAACTCAGAATATTTGAAAGTTCTGTGCAAGGTTGACTTTAACAGTAATATTTTACTACATCTAAAATCTTAGCACCTTACAAAGTTCTTTCTAATTCATCTCTAAGGTATGAAATTATTACAGGCTTCATCCCTAAGGGGTTAAGGATTTCCATGATAGAGACAAGTAAACCAATGTTCTGTGGATTTTGTTGTTTATTTTATGGAGCACAGAATTCTATTCTCTGAGGCTTTTGTACTAAAATTTCATCAGCATGTATCCCACTCGGGATATGGTATGATTTCTGGTTTTTCTCCCTTCATTCTCTTCCTGATGTGAGCCTAAGGCCATCCCTTACTGAGTATTGTTAGCAGATGAATATATTGAAAGGTGATGAGTACAAAAGAACTTGGCTGCCATCCAGTCAGTATATTAAAAGGATGATAATTCAAAATGTTGAAAATGAGCACTGTGTGGGATTTTCGGATCCCTGAGGCTTTAATGCACTTGCAATGCAGGGACAAAGATTTGCCTCCCACAACCCTATGTTTACAGGGTATTTATTCATCTGGTTGTGACTCCACTTGCCAGCCTTGTAAATGCCCAGGGATAGATCAGAGCACAGTCTAGACTAAATCTGTGTCACATGCCCACGGTGGGTGGGGACAAATCCCTCTGGCAGCTGTTGCAGCTCTCATGTAACAAAACCAGCACTGTAGAAGGGCCCACAGGAGGCCTCAATCTCATGCCCTCGTGCCCTGTCCCTCCCTGTCCCTCCTCCCTTTAATAGGAGCTCAGGAATGAGGTGGGGGGGCCAAGAGGAAACCAGAATCGCCAGATTCCTTTTTACAAACCACTTTCCACTTTATTGAAAACACAGCAAGGCCTAGGCAGGGAATCATGTGCTGACCACCAATTTCCTAAAAAAGCAGAAAAAAAATCTGCCACAATTACTTTCAGGTAAATCAAGTTTATAATAAATATTTCTCTGTTTTGTAATTATAAAATTATTTTAATTTTTCTTTTAATTCACTTATTTTGCCTAAGTACAAATGTATATATGGTCTTTGCAATTAGGTACATAATATATATTTCTAAAGGGGCCAGCCAAACACTTGCCTCTGTTCATAAATAGGCATATGTTATAGTCAGTGACATATATATGTATATATTACAATGATATATATTCACTGTTAAATTAAGCAGAGCCCAGCTAATGTCCTCTCTCCCAGGCCAGATCGCCTGAATCCCAAGCAGCAGAAAAAGATAAAAAAAAAGATGGGGGAAATAGCAGAAGAGAGGGGTTTATCTTTTTTTAGAAGAGACATATAATGTGTAAGTTGAAGACTATGCAAAGCTAGATTTTAATTTGATATAAACTGCTGGGAGTTTTTCTTTATAAGATATTGTGGCAATGATGGCTTTGCATTCTTTGGTACCTCAGATCCAGGAACCCTGAATTCTGTAAAGCAGCCCTTGTCTTCCAATCTCTGGCTCACCTACACCCTAGGAGATTTGTGGAAAACTAGTCCCCTTTGCACATTTTAAAGTTGATATCTAAAGAGTTTTCTTCGTAAGTTTGTATAGTTGCAAAAAAATATAATTCCTACCGTAATTAAAAGTTTTACATTTTAAAATAAAAAGGTGTCCTGGCCAGCTGCTGCTAAGACTTGAAATGAGGCATGACTACCTGGGCATGGTTAGCAAGAGAACAAATATTTGGTTCAAATTAGAAACTTTTTAAAAAATGTCTTGAGACTTTTGGTATGATCCTGCTGGAATTATCATCCTTTGGACTTATTTCTCTCTCTTCCCCACAACATAGCCCCTTTGTCTGCTTCCCCGGAGCTAAAACCCTTCTGCTTTCCTCCGTTGTCTGGCCTACTGACACCACCCCTCTCGGGGAAGCAGGATCTTGCTACTCAGACAGTCCATGCTGGGATCACTAAGCCCTCCAGGCAGGCAGGGCCAGGCAAGGCTCAAACTCTCAGAGCTGTGTGGGAATGGCCTATGGGTCACCCACAAGGGGCCCAAACCCTGGTCTCAGGGAGGCCTCTTGTCTTCATTCTTGCAAAAGGGCATCTTTTTTCACTTTGTGCAAAGCAGTTGTCCAGCCAGCCAGCATTGCTTGCCCAACTCATTCCTCTGTCTCAGGAGGCTAACAGGCCAAGTAAGGAAGGGTGTTAAAGGGGAGACCAGTCACAGAAGAGTGAGACTCTCTGATTGTGCCACACACACAGTCTGGATAGCTTTTGAGTCCTTGTTAGAAGCGCCCTAGAGACACTTCTCAGAAGTATCACATTCAGAGATGGGATTTGGAGGCTTGTTCCAACAACATAGTCTCCCAGACATTATCAGTGTAAAATGAGCTGCAAATCTGCACACAGCTTTCTCTCAGCAAGAACACCGAAAAGTGAGAGGGGAAGTGGTATAGAGGGCAAAGGAAAGGATGAGATTATCCAAGACTCAGTAAAGACATTCACAAATACTTATTGAGCACCTAGTATGTGCAAAGCCTTCTATGAGGCACCTTGAGAAAAGAAGACCAGGACCGAAGTCAGAGGAATGTGGCATAAGGGTGCAATTTTTCCTCTCCCCTGGACATTTCAACAAGTTAACTATCTATGATTCAACAAAGAAATCCCTGCCCAACACAGACCCATGCCTGAGAGACCCACTCACTGAAACACATATAGGTGAGCATCCAGGAATGAATGAGGAGAGGAGAAGGGATGAAAATGCAGTTGGCCTGCAGACACAGCCCTGCAGCTGGGAGCTCACAGCTCAGGGCAGAAGAGGGAAGAAAGTCAGAGGTAGCAGGCACTTCCCTTGGCGGGGTGGGAGGAAGAGAGAGGTGTGTGTAGGGGGTAGTGGGGGAGTGAGAAGGGGCAGTAGGGCGAGCAGTGGAAAACGGCAACAGGGTGAACAGTGTCTGAGTTGGCAGGCACCTGACAGAACTCAGGTTCTGCTGTGAGGCTCCTCACTGGTTCCTGCCCCAGCTTCTACTACTGAAGAAGCTAGAAGTAAAAGGAATAATGGGAGGAGGAGTCAGGAGCTTATATTATTTATTTGAGGAAAGGCTATATCAGGTGCACCAATCATTAAGGGCACTATCAGTTATGAAACCACCAATTATAATAGGTATTACTATGAAAAAAATTATTATGAAGGCATGGGCAGTAACAATTACATTGTAAATTTGATCATCTCCTAATAAAACTCCAGGTTGACTCAATTCAGCATAGATTAACAGACTTAAGGCAGTACCTACTATGCCTGCTCAGGCCCCAAATAAAAGATATAAAGTGTTGATATCCTTATGATTAATTGAAAATAATCAACAATTTATGAACATAGGTAAAATGGCTGAGCAAGCATTAGATTGTAAATCTAAAGACAGAGGTTGAACTCCTCTTTTTACCAAATTCTGTGGTGTAACACATATTGAATTGCAAATTTGAAGAAGCAGCTTCAATCCTGCCTGGCTCCTCTCGCCTTTTTTTCCTCACTGTAGGAGAAGTAGAGTGAAGCCAGTTGACTAAGGTGTTTAGCTGTTAACTAACATTTCATGGGTTTGAAGCCCATCAGTCTAGGAAGGGCTTAGCTTAATTAAAGTAAATGACTTGTATTCATTTGATGTGAGATAAAATCTTGCAGTCCTTTTTTCAGGAGTTAAACAAATAATATTTGCTTGAAGCTTTGAAGGTTCCTGGTCTGGATTAACTTAAACTCCTAGTCTAGAATTACTATGGCTGGTGCTAGTGGAAGAGTCAGGGTTGGAGGTTACAATCAGAGATGATAAATGTGTTATTTGTTTTATACTTTCAAATTGTCATTTGATTTTTATGTTATTTATTGTCGGGAATATTGTGAGTGATTTGGCATATGTAAGTCATATGTAAAAATGTAAGTTAAGTAGGGATGTGATGGCTATAAGTGTTGATAGTAGAATAGTATTATTTTTTGTTATTTCTTGAATATTCATTTTGGTAAAAATGCTGTTAATGGGGGGAGTCCTTCTAAAGATAATATAATAACTAGGATAAATGTGGTGGTTAGTGGTATCTTATTTCATATGTGAGATAAGGAGGTTGTTATGATTGATGTATTTATTATAAATAGTATGAATGTAGTAGTTGTTATCCTAATATATAAAAACCCTTGATCTGTCACATCCACAACGACCGGAAACTCGACCTAATGCCCAGGCTGCATGCACAGCAGGCTCTGGTGGGTGGGGACTTGTGGCAGCGGAGATGGGGATGGGGGAGGTGGGGTCGGCACTCACACTCACAACTGCACACAGGCACAGACACACACAGCACCCACCAGCTCGCAGCCTTTTCTCCCTTTCTTTCCCTCCCTCCCAGCTTGCTCTTGGAGCCTCTCTCAGAATGAGGAAACAGAACAGACTGGGCCTGAAGAGGCTTGGATGGAAGGGAAGGCTGGCAGAGGGTGGAGTGGCCCCCACTGGCCCTGCTCCCTCCAGCCCAGAAAGAGGAAGAGGGACACAGGGAGGCAGGGAGGCCTGGAGGACTGCTGAGAAAAACAAAGAGAGATAGAGACT